CTCCCCGAGGCTGCCGCGGTCGCACTCCATCTGCGGCTCTGACTTCTACCTGGCGCCGGAGGTGTGGCTCGCCCTTTTTGACCGCGGGGGGGGGCGGCGGCGGCAGCGATCGTCAGAGGAGGGCAGCGATCGTCAGAGGGGGGCGATCGGCAGGCGCAGAGGGCAGCGGCCGCCGCGGCGTGGCCTCGGCGGCACCAGCCGCGCGGAGGGTGCGGAGGGTGCAGCTCGAGGGATCGTCCATGCTCGGAGGAGGGCGAAGTTGAGCGGACAGTAGTTGGCCTGCGGGGTGGCCCCTCCTCCTCCTCCTCCTCCTCCTCCTTCTCCTCCTCCTCCTCCTCTGCCTCCTCCTCCTCCTCCTCCTCCTCATCCTCATCGTCGCCACGGCCGGGCGCATCTCGGCAGACTGGCGCGCGTGGACCCTGGGAGGGGTCTGGGGTCCGGGGGCCGATTTCGAGCTGCCGTTGTGTTTCAGCGCGCCCGGCTCCGAGATCGGCGATGGACGAAAGGTGGGGAGGGGAACATCGAACTTTTCCTCGTCCTCTTCCACTGCAGGAGCCCTCCTTCTTCTCCTCGTCTTCGTCGTCGTCGTCGTCGTCGTCGTCGTCGTCGTCGTCCTGGTCCTGGGCAGGGGGGTAGGGAAAAGGGGATCCTGGTCCTTCGATCTGCTGCATGCAGCTGTTCTCGGCCCCGCCGCCGGGCGCTCCCCTCGACGCACCGGCGCTCCCCCCCCCCAGCGCCGCGAGGCGCCGGGAGAACTGGCTGCGTAAGATCTTCCTTTCGTCCGGCCCGCTCGCGACGGCCCTGGCCTTACGTCGGGCGTGTCCCTCTACAGGAAGAAAATTCTTTACGCTTCGCGTATCCCCACCAGCCCATCTCACAGCAGCAACTCTCGCGAAGCATGTCGACAGTCGTGTTTTTCAGGCGTGTGTCCGCTTGGCCCCGCATATCTCCCCTGTTCATCCTTCCTCCCGCCTCCTTGTACATCCTCCTTGTGAGGGGAGCGGGAGAAGGACGAGGCGGAGGAGGAGGGAGAGAAAGCGCTCCTCGTGATTTGAGTCGTTTGGGGTTTCTCGTCCTGGGGTGAGTCGTTCGGGCCCTTCTTCCTGGTGTGAGTCGTTCGGGCTCTTCGTGGTGTGAGTCGTTCGGGCTCTTCGTCCTGGTGTGAGTCGTTCGGGCTTCTCGTGGTGTGAGTTGTTCGGGCCCCTCGTCCTGGTGTGAGTCGTTCGGGCCCCTCCTCCTGGTGTGACTCGTTCGGGCTCCTCGTGGTGTGAGTCGTTCGGGCGCCTCGTCCTGGTGTGAGTCGTTCGGGCCCCTCCTTGTGGTGTGAGTCGTTCGGGCTCTTCGTGGTGTGAGTCGTTCGGGGCCCTCGTCCTGGTGTGAGTCGTTCGGGCTCCTCGTGGGGGCCTCTTGGAGCCTCGTGGGGCCTCTTGGGGGCCTCTTGGGGGCCTCTTGGGGGCCTCTTGGGCCTGGGGGCCTCGTGGGGCCTCTTGGGGGCCTCTTGGGGGCCTCTTGGGGGCCTCTTGGGGCCTCGTGGGGCCTCTTGGGGGCCTCTTGGGGGCCTCTTGGGGGCCTCTTGGGGCCGCTTGGGGGCTTCTGAAGGGCCTCTTGGAGGCCTCTTGGGAGCCTCCTGGGGGCCTCTTGGGGCCATCTTGGGGCCTCTTGCGACCTCCTCAGAAGCGCAGATGAGAGCTGCCCCCTGAGAAGGACAAAATGAACCCAAAACCTTCGTAAAATAAATGATTTTGCTATAAGGGAAGATGAGCGCGGCCCCCTCAGAAGGCCAAAATGGGGCCAAAACCATCGTAAAATCAATGATTTCTGCTTCAAAGACGAGCAGAGGGGCCAAACGGTCCCCCCCACCTGTGGGCCAGAATCCTTGTGAGGGTCGTCGTTTTTTGGCCCTCCCAGGAGTCGAAAAAGACCCCCTTGATTGCACTCGAGACGCCCTCTCCAGGCCCAGGGGGAGGGGGTAGGGGGAGGGGTAAACCCCTCCCCGAAGGGGAAGAAGGGGGGTTGGGGGTTTGAGCACAGAGAAAGCTCGCTAAACCACTCACGCCCAAAGGGCTGGTGGGATTCAGGAATAGTGAAAAGAATAGTCGGGGGACGATTTCTGGACTTTTGCTAAGGCCTTACGGCCAGTGCCGCCGACCGACCCTGGATACCTCGGCCCTCAAGGGTGACGGGATGCGTGATAAGAAGTCGGAGGTAAATGAAGACGTGGCGGAGGAGGAGGCGGAGGAGGAGGAGGAGGAGGAGGAGGAGGAAGGGAGAGGAGGAGGATGAGGAGGAGGAGGAGGAGGAGAGGAGGAGGAGGAGGAGGGAGGAGGAGGAGGGAGGAGGAGGAGGAGGAGGAGGGGAAGGGGGGGGAGGGAGTGAGAGGGGGAAGAGTGGAGGGGGGAGGAGGAGAAGGAGGAGGAGGAGGAGGAGGAGGAGAGAGGAGGAGGAGGAGGAGGAGGAGGGAGGAGGAGGAGGAGGCAGGAGGAAGAGAGGGAGGAGGAGAGAGGAGGAGCAGGAGGAGGAGCAGGAGGAGGAGGAGGAGCAGAGAGGAGGGAGGAGAGGAGGAGGGGAGGGGGAGGGGGGAGAGGGAGGGAGAGGGTCGCCCGGGGGGATGCGTATCTGCCCCCCCCCCCCCCCATTCCACCCCCTCCCCGGGTGGGGAGGGCAGGGAGGGGCTTCGTCACGACTACGATTTCTTTCTGTTTCGTGTTCGATTTCCTTTTATTTCGGGCGACGACGATGATGACGACGACGACGACGGTGATCCACGCAAGACGACGACACCGGGATGCGTCTTCCACACGCCGACTGGGTCGGCGGATTTTTATATATTTTGAGCACTGTTTGGTTATTTTGGATTGTTCGCCCAAGATCCGCCCGTAGGGGGACATGCCCGACGCCTCGGCACGCGTGTGAGCAGCGAGTTGCGAAGGCGCTCAAGGAGCCGCTCAGTGCCCCTGATCCGCCCGGCCGGCCTGCGCGTGCCTCCGGGTCCGCCGCGGCACGCGAGGCGCGCGGCGCAGCGCGCTCCCTCCTGGAGTCTTGCTCGGGGTCGGCCCGCCGGCTGGAGCAGGGGCGCGCTCCCTCGGGGCCCCGAGGCCGCGTGGAGGCGGCCCGCGCGGTGACCTCGGCATCCCCGGGTGTCCTCATCGCGCGGTCCGTCGCAGCGCGGGCTCGGGGGCCTCGGGGGCCGAGGTCGCCCAAGGCGTCCTCGGAGCGCGACCCGAGCCCCAGCGCCGCGCGGCAACCCCGAGGCTCCTCTGACTCACAGCGCGGTGTGCGTCCGTCCCGACTCCTCGCCGCAAAGGGCCACCGCGCAGGCGGCGGCGTCGACGGCCTTCCTCGCGCGTGCCTCCCAGAGGCCGCTCGAGGCCGAAGCGGGGCGGAAGGCATCGCGAGATCTCGTTCCTCGATCGTTCTTCCTTTTTCCTGCCTCCTCCCTCCCCCTCCTCCTCCTGGAGGGATGAGGGAGGGAGGGGAGGCACGATGACGAGTAAGTGAGGCAGGGAGGAGGGAGGTAGGGAGGGAGGCGGAGGAGGAGGAGGAGGAGGAGGAGGAGGAGGAGGAGGAAGGAGGAGGAGGAGGAGGAGAGAGGAGGAGGAGGAGGAGGAGGAGAGGAGAGGAGGAGGAGAGGAAGGAGGATGAGGAGGGGAGAGGAGGAGGAGGAGGAGGAGGAGAGGAGGAGGAGAGAGGAGGAGGAGGAGGAGGGAGGAGGAGGAGGGGAGGAGGGGAGGAGGAGGAGGAGGAGGAGGAGGAGGAGGAGGAGGAGGAGGAGGAGGGGGGAGAGGAGGAGGAGGAGGAGGAGGAGGACGAGGAGGAGGAGGAGGAGGAGGAGGAGGATGGGGAGGATGAGGAGGAGGAGGAGGAGGAGGAGGAGGAGGAGGAGGAGGAGGAGGAGGAGGAGGAGGAGGAGGAGGAGGCACGACGACGACGATGGTGACAAAGTCGGAGCAGCGCCAGGATTGATGTGATCATTTCTGGCATTTCTCCATGATGCCGGCGCCGTGCTCGGACCCGGATGCCGCATCACCGACGCATTCGCGATGCTCTCCATTTCGATGTCGTCGACACGTCGGCGATGCAGCGCGATCCTCCGATCCCGTCTGCTCGGTCCCCGTGTGGGCGGCCTCCAGGTCCGCAGCTCCGGAGCGTCGGGTGCCTGTTGGTGCGCCGTCGTCGTCTCGGAGGCTTCTGGGCACGCCTGGAAGTCTCATCGCCATGGCTGGAAGCAGCGCGAAACACGGGCCAAGATGGACTGGGGGGCCCGAGTTGGGTCGTCGGCGGGACGAGGCGGGCGCGGCTTTCTAACAAGAAGGCATGGGGGCTTCTCGGGAGCCAGTCTGCCTACGGGCTCCTCTCCCGCGTGGCTTCGTCCACGGGGATCGGTTGCGCGTAAGAGTGGCCCTTCGCCATCGTGACCTCGTGACCTTTTCCGCGGGCCCGCACGGGCCCCCCTCGCCCAGCACTGGCCTGCGCGCACAGATTGCGCCCCCCCCCCCCCGAGGCCCCCCGAAGACGCGGCCCTCGGAAGCCCCCTTGCAGCGTCTACTTGGCCGGGAAGCACAGGCTGCACGGATGAGGCCCCGTCGCAGCGGTCGGTCCGCGCGCTCGCGAGCCTTCTGCGGGAAGGGTCTCGTTGGCACCGCTTGCGGCACCCGAGCCTTTTCACGAGCTGACAGCCAGCACCTGTGCCTATGCGACCCTTAGATTTCTCGGGGTGGGATCCCGCAGGTGGGAGCTATGGTGGTGTGTGTGTGTGCGCGTGTGTGTTGTCGGATGGTTGTCCCCGCTCGAGCGGGAGACCCCTCTCGGGGTCCGACGACTCGCATCCATACATGGAGCGCCTTCATGTCCTTGCCCCTCCCCGTTCCTCATCCCTCCGGGTTTTGGCCTGTGCTGCTCTTTCATCAAGTCTGGGGGGGTGTAGGCCAGGGCCACCACGAGAATGCGAAGTTGTGCGCGCTGCGCGGCCTGGGCGATGTCAGAGCGAGGGCGAGGAGCTGGCGGGGGGCGGCGCGAAAGCGCGAAGTCATTCGCGCTTCGCGCTGCGCGGAGCCCGAGAGTGCGAAGCTCGTTGCCCTAGTGCAGGCCAAGGGCCGCCCTTGCCTGGGGCCGCTCCTCCTCCTCCTCCTCCTCCTCCACCTCCTCCTCCGCCTCCTCCTCCTCCTCTCCTCCCCTCCTCCTCCTCCCCTCCTCCCTTCCCCCTCCTCCTCTCCCCTCCTCCTCCTCCTCCTCCTCCTCCTCCTCCTCCTCCTCCTCCATTTCCTCCTCCTCCAGGGAGCCGTCGCTGTGAGCCCTCGCGCCCCTGGCCTGTGCCCGCGCCCGCGGAGAGCGCGCGGGAGTGGTCCCCCGCGCGAGGGCGGCGAAGCCCCACGCGGGGGCAGCGCCAGTCGGCCACGCGCAGAGGGGGCACTCCAGGGGCTTTTCCTGGGCCTCGGGACCGTCAAAAATCCTCTCGGGAGGAAAAACCGAGTTGCCGCGGTGAAGAAATCACGACGTCGAGGGTCCGGGTGCGTGGCACCCCGCCGGGCAGGATTTTTATAGTCGACCCGCATGGCAGCAAGGATGGGCAACCTTCCCAAAGGTCACCTGGCATCCTTCCCATTCGGCCCGTCTGTAGCGACTGTCGCTGGCCAGCCTCGTTCGGAAAGCCCTTAACATGGCCCTCCAAGGCCCTTGCACCCTTACCGCGCATCCTCATACAGGTTGACTCGAGGGGGAGGAGGGGAGGCTCCTTAGAAGCGCCCTTGCATCTTAGAAGGCGCGGGCCTTTGCTATAGATGTAGGGCTGGCGCCCTCTGAGAAGCGGCCTCTTTCTGAGAGGCCTCCGCCCCTCCCCCATACCCCCTTGCGCGTGCCGCCAAGTTAGTCAGCCACGCGCAGAGGGGGGTAGGGGGAGGAGGGAAGGCTTTTCAGAAGCACCCCTGCTTCTTAGAAGGCGCGGGCCGATTTTTTCCGGTTGCGCTTCACAGGATCCGGTCCCGACCGAAATGCCGAAAATGAGGGTGCCGCTAGCGCGCTACCGAAATTGGTTGCGCTACCGAATTTGAGCGCGTCGTCGCTACCGAATTTCGGTTCGGCACTACCGAAATTCGTGATCGTCGATACCGAATTTCGTGATCGCCGTTGTTGGATTTCGACCAGTGCGGATGTCGGTGGCAGTGGTGATTGCGCAGATTCTCGCGTTACCAGTCTTCGCGTTGCCGCTTCTCGTGGTGCCGAAATTCGATGTCCCGCTACCGAATCTTATTTCACCGCTACCGAGTTTCGCGTCGGATGGGCTACCGAATGTCGTTTCCCTGCTACCGACTCTCACCCTTCAGAATTTGCATGCATGCTCAATTGTCCGACGCCGCCGAAGAATCAGGCATCCGGTCGCGACCGAAAATCGACGAGCGCCCAGATCGCCACCGAAAACAGGCAGCATCGGACAATCTGGGTAGCTGGAGGGCCGGCACCCTCTAAGACGCGGCCTCCTTCTACGAAGCCTCCTCCCCTCCCCAAACCCCCTGTGTGCGCGCCGCCAAGACAGGGGGATAGGCTCGGGGTGGCGTTTCGGGCGGTTTGGGGTGTTGTTTTCGTCGGTGCTCCGCGGTGTCCCAGACGCGGGGGGCCCTCAACACCTGTCGCGCCTCGCCTGCGGTGTTCCGGGGGTGCCCGGATTTGCCCCGAAGGGCCGTCGGAGAGGGATGGCCCCGAAGGGCCGCCGGAGAGCCGAGGTATGACCCGGAGGCCAGGGGGGAACGGTATTCAGGAGGAAAAAACACACAGACACAATGAATCATCGATCCCCAAGAGAGTATGGGAAAATATGGGAAGTGGGGGGGAAGACGAAAACCCACCAGATGTGCGAAAATGAGGGGGATTCTGGGATCTGCGTGTATTGATTTGTGTGTCCTTCGGCCCCTTCAGTTATAACCTCAGGAAGGCATTAAGAACCCCCCCCCCCTTTTCCGGTGGATTATAACGCCCCCGCACCCTGGAGCGTTATGGCCGCACCGGAAGACCTGGCTGAGGGGACTCGGGGCCTAGCTAAGGCCTGCCAAGCGCAGATTTGCTCCTGCCAAGCAGTTCAGCAGGGCCAAGCAGGGCTTAGCAAGGCTTAGCAGGGCATAGGTCGTCGTCGTCGTCGTCGTCGTCGTCGTCGTCGTCGTCGTCGCCGTCGTCGTCGTCGTCGTCGTCGTAGGTGGATTTTGTTTTCTGTGTGCGGCGGGTGCTAAGTGTATCGTTCGGCTAAAACTGCCCGCCTGGAATATTGAGAAAACCGGGTGCTAAGAATAACCCAGGGGGGTTTCTTAATGCCTTCCTGAGGTTAAGGGGACAGGCTCACGGGCGGATCCATCGAGCCCCGATCGCCCACTCCTCGCCGGTATGGGGGGCTGGTGGCCCACCCTGCCCAGGAGTGTGGGGTGTCGCTGTCGAGAGAAGGTCGTCGGAGTTTCTCCGAGTCCAGGTCGATGTTTCCACCCCTGAGCCAGTACCCCCTCTCGTCGGGGGTGGACAGACCTCCTGCCCTGACACGTCGATTAAGGAATTGGCCGTTTTCGGTTCGCGAGAGGGCGTCGCGGTCGTTATTTTTGCGGGTCCCAGGTCCGTCGGTTTCGGTCCTTGGCCGTTTTCATTAAGGGGAGGTTTACTAAAGGGAGGTTTGTCCACCGCCGATATCGCTCCCCCTCGCCCAATCGGTCAGTTTTGGCAGTGACGGCTGTGTGGCGTCGTGCGTTTTGCCGTTCGGCTGGTCGGGCATCCCGCCAGGCGGTTGCACATCACCGCTTCTCTTCCCGAGTCTGTGTCCTGCACAGGTGATCAAGCAGGAGGAATACGGCCGCGAGATTGACATCTGGTCCGCTGCTTGCAGTTGTCGCGCATCATCCATGCGCACGCTCGGATTAGTTCGACAACATGTTTGCCACGTTGCCCTTTCACATGTCTGTCTGAGAAAGTTGCGCACATAAGCAAAGCAACCTGTCCACCTGCTGGTCTCAGTCCTGATCAATTTTAGATCACATTCCAGCCGAGCTACTCGTTTTCTTGGTCTGTCAGGGGTGCTTCTGCCATATGTCACACTCTTGCACGCACGCGCGCACACACTCTCTGGTACGGTGGCGTGACGCTGTTCAGCATTAGGACTGAGTCATTTAAGTGGGCTTCGTCATGGCCTCTCGTCGTCCTGAGCCCCCGACGCGCGAAGAAGGGAGTCGTCCCCCAGTCGCGCCTCCAGACACCGCTTCCGTGGAGTCCGTTAGATCCGCTGCTGTGTTCTAGGCCAGCGACTTCGCAAGGGAGCTCTTCTCGTTCGCAACACCGGCCCCTGTACCCTCCTCCCAAGAAGGCCCTGACAGAGAGGATGAAAGGGAGGAGGAGGAGGAGGAGGAGGAGGAGGAGGAGGAGATGGAGGAGGACGACGAAGAACCTTTCTGAAACTTTTACTATGCCAGAGGGGCCAGGTTACACTCAACGACGAGACGCCACCCCGAGGCTGGGCACAAAAGCCCCCAGCTCGACACGGCGCCCCGCCGATACAGGTTTCGCTACGTTCACCCGACTGGCTCTCCCGTCAGTCCGGCGGCCGTCATGCCGCCTGGCCGCAGGCGCGCCACCTTGCTCGCACGCGGGCCGCCGACGCGGCGGGCCTGCCTCACTCCTGAAGGCACCCGATGCAGGCATTCGGGTACCGACGACCTGGGGTCCATCATGCTCACCAAGTTTATCGGCACCTTCACGAAGATTCCTGCTTCATGACCTGCGCGCGCTCCCAACGGCGCATCGGGACATTCATCAGCAGCCCACGCCATCCTGCAAGCATCAGCCAGATCTCACGCCCACGCAGCCGCAAGTCCAGCACGCTGTTCACGATGACCTGCACCTCATCGTTGTCGAGTGCATGGCCTCCGTCCTCCTTCATCTCCTCTGTCGGCGGCGCCGCAGTCTCATCCGCAGCAGCGGTCTCAATCTGGGGCCTCGGCTCGGGCACGTACTCGACCTCCTGCACCCCCTCGAGCTCTGGACAACCTTGGGCTGCGCATCTGTCACGTCCTGTCCCGCCGCCTCGGGCTCCACTGCCGCCGAGATCTTGGGCGGCACCTGCTTAGTGATCTCGTCGAGGTCGTCAGCCCAGCGCGCCCCATTGGGGGCCTTCGCGTCGGCAGGGCGCCGACGTGGAGGCGGACGAGGCGGAGGAGGAGGCGGAGGAGGAGGCGGAGGATGAAGAGGCGAAGGTGGAGGAGGATGTGGAGGGTACGGAGGAAGAGGAGGAGGAGGTGGAGGACGACGAGGCGGAGGAGGAGGAGGAGGAGGAGGAGGAGGAGGATGAAGCGGAGGAGGAGAAGGAGGAGGAGGAGGAGGAGGAGGAGGAGGAGCAGTGGCGGGAGGGCGAGGGTGGCGAGATGAAAATAGCCCCGAGCGAGAAGGGGTGGGGGGGGGGCGATCAGCCGCAGAGCGGCGGACATGCCCAGACACGTCCAGACAAGGGCTGAAACAGGCATGGTTGGCCGGGGTGTGGCAAATGCCAAGAGGGAGAGAGGAAGAGAGAGAGAGAGAGAGAAAAAAAGAGAGAGGGAGAGAAATTGACAAGCAAGAGTTGACAGCACAAGAGCTGAACACTGAGAGCTGGAGAGGGAGACTGACTATGGAAAGGGAACTGTATTGGGAAGAGAGAGAGAGAGAGAGAGAAAAAAAAAAAAAAAAGAAAGAAAGAGAGAGAGAGAGAGAAACAGAGAGAGAGAGAGGGAGAGAGAGGGAGAGAGTTATAGAGAGAGAGAGAGAGAGCGAGAGGAACAGACAGACAGCAAGAGAGAGTGAGAGCTCGCACTCAGCATGTCTGACTGGCTTGATTCAACATCGACCTGGCCGTACTGGGACCCCACCGCATACACGCAATGCAGATCTGATGTGTTTGAAGTACTCCTCGTCTTGCTCTCTAGCATGGCCGAACCATCGTTACTCACTTTGCTTCGAGGGCCGTGGGCGTGATCACGTACGTGTTGCTCAGGCTGCCATCTCTCTTTGGGAGTTTCTCTGGTTTGCTTTGTTTAAGGAGCATTGCCATGGCGCCGATAGGGCATTTCTGTGACCTCCACTGGGCAGAACTTCATGGAATCCTTGGGGAAGGGGGGAATGGTGGAGAGAGACTCAGGGCGGTGGAGAGGGTGAGGAGATTGAGATGATGAGGGTGAGAAGAGGGGGTGGAACATGGGTTCAGCGGCGGGAGAGGATAACGGGGAGATCTCCTTACAGTCAACCCGCATAATAAGGATGGGCAGCCTTCCCACGGGTACCCTTGCATCCTTGCCCCCTCGGTCCATCCTTCGCCACGTTCGTTGGCCGCGCCCCGCTCGAAGAGCTTCGAATTGGGCGTCCAAGGCCCTTGCATCCTTATCGCGCACCCTTACTGCACGGGTTGACTGTATCCTCCGTCCTGCAGCGTTCTTGGCCAGCCGGGTACATCGACGCCGGCTCCGTCGGTTTACGGCGTGTCGTCTGTCTATCGCCGCTCCGCTGAACGGCCCCATGAGAGGGGCGGCCTTAGAGAAGGCCATCTCTCTCTCCCTCTCTATCGCCCCGCTTCGAGACGGGTTGCGCTGAAGTCTGGCACTGTCTCGAATTGAGTTCTGGCCCCGTCGGCTGCTGGGCGATGCCACAGAGCAACGCCACGCGAGACTGAGATAAAATGTCTCAGTGGACCTCATCTTGAAGGGTCGCTTGCTCTCCAACGGAGCTGACCTCTGTCCACCGCCGTGGGGCCTCCTGAGTCCGCCGCGTGCCTCGACCGTTCCGCCAGGGGTGGCCGACGAGGAGGGCCAGCCGTGGGGAGAAAGGGCGGCCTTTCGGGGGGTCCCCGGGGGGCCCATGACTAGGCGGCCCCTGGGGCAGGCCAGCAGGATCAGCAGGATGAGCAAACTCGAGGAGGGCGGTTCAATTTCCCACGATCGGTTGTGGTGCGGCACTTCTCTGGAGACGAAATCGCTGTCCGTAGCCTGAGCGGCAGGTTGTGCAGCCACCTGCCATGAGCTGCACCGCCCAGTTCTCGTCGTCCCCCGAACGCGAGGATGAGCATCATTCTGGCATCTTCAGCCTATCCTTTTTATCACATGCATTTTCGCTCACAAGGACTCCACCTGAACGTCCAAGGTCCATGCATCACTACCGCGAATCCCCATGCTCGCGTCGCGCGGTACGTGATACGGCCCAGGGCCCCAAGAGGGCCCCAAGACGGCACTTGAAAGGAGCATTGTGCCTGGCAAAACACATTTCGTGTTGCGAGCGTTTGCCTGACAGGTCGGTAGCCCCAGTAACGTGTGTTCTGGCCGCGAGGAGGGAGGCACAAGACAACAGCACGAGCGGCCCATGGCCAATGATGGTAGGATGAGGGCGAGCAGGGTAACAAGGGGGATGATGATGACGATGAAGACGATGATAATGATGACGCTGCTGGTGATGATGGTGATACCCTGTGAGGATGATGATGCGGAATATGAGAAAGGGGAAGAGGAGGAGAAGGACGAAGACGACGATGAGGATGATGTTGATACTGATGATGAGGAGGAGGAGGATGCTGATGATGCTGATGATGAGGATGACGATGATGATGCTGATGATGATGATAGTGATGATGCTGCTGATGATCATGGCGATGATGATGATGATGATGATGATGCTGATGCTGATGGTGATGCTGATAATGATGATGATGATGATGATGATGATGATGATGCTGCTGCAGCTGCTGCTGATGATTATGATGGTAGTGGTGATGATGATACTGATGGTGGTGGTGATGATGATGATGATGACGATGGTGATGCTGATGGTGATGGTGATCGTGATGGTGATGATGGTGATGGTGATGATGGTGATGGTGATGATGCTGATTAGGATGATGGCGATGAGGCTGATCATGCTGATGATGGTTATGCTGATGCTGCTGATGATGGAGACGGTGATAGTGATGATCATGATGATGACGATGATGATGATTATGATGATGATGCTGATGATGATGATGCTGATGATGATGATGATGGTGATGGCGGTGATGGTGGAGGTGGTCATGATGATGATGATGATGATGCTGATGATGATGATGGTGTGGTTGTCGATGCCGACGGCGATGATGATGATATTGATGATGATAATGGTGATGCTGTTGACGATAACGATGATGACGACGATGAGGCTGCTGCTGCTGCTGATGTTGCTGATGATGATGATAATGATGATGCGGATGAAGATGAGGATGAGGAGAGTGACGATGATGGTGACGATGGTGATGATGATGCTGCTGATGTTGGCAGCAGGTGATGCTCATGATGATACTGATGATGGTTGTGCTGATGATGAGGACGGTGATGATGCTGCTGCTGAGGATGATGCTGATGCTAAGGATGAGTATGATGGTGATGATAATCATGGTGATGATGCTGATGCTGATGATGATGAGGATGAGGATGCGGATGATGCTAATGCTGATGAGTATGTCGATAGTGATGATGATGATGGTGATG